AAGGGATTCAAGGAAGGGAAAGGAGATTGTGAGAGTGACTGTGAAGCAGAATCTGAGCCACATGGAACTGTTACTAACCTTTCAGCTGTAGTGAAATCACTTTCCAGGAAATGTTTGCTGCACAAGTATTTACTGTGCAGAATTCTAGCAGAATCAACAGTGAAGGATATGTTTAATATGGAGCTGTAATTTCGTTTGCAAATGTCTACTTTCGTTTCGCAACCACATCAAATCAAGATTCATACTTAACCAATTTGCCTATATTGATCCACCACAACCACATATAATTGCGGGAATTCAGATTGGTTTGTTTAGGCTCTCTGACTGGTCGAGAACTGCGTACACTATCTGCCATAGCTCTTAGAGGTAGTAGTTACCGTGTTTCCCTTTCTCCTATCTCAGTTGCATCCCACTGATCCACGGGATGCAGGCTGTGTAAGCAATCGCGGCTGGCTTTGAATGTAAGAACACACCTCAATGACCAGGGATAAATAATGACATATCGTCACCGTCACGAAATATAAATTTCGACCCTCCAAAGGGAGGTTCAACGTTCAATAAGATTTTAACTCATCCGTCCCTAGATCTATATGCAAATCATATTAAGCGATATTACGTCTCCAGTTCGGTTTCCGTTACAGAATTTTTCGTCCTGCAGCCACGGGATACGATGTGCGGTTCACCCATATCGACCCATAGGCGAACACAGTTGACATTCATATCGGGTAAAATTGAAGAATGCTCTCATGCCATCTATATATATATATATCTATGGAAAGCCAATCGGCTTCGTCAGCTCAATCGTAAAAACATATCTACCTCCTGTTTGCTGTCTGCTTCATGTTGCTTTGGTGCTTGAATTACTCTTCGACCCTGAAGAAAGTGACAATATGTACCTCCGAAACGTGGTTGACTTTCATCGGTCTTCATGGCGTTATGTTCCAGAATAACTTACCCTTCAAATTCAGTACATGAATTCATTTGTTCAATTCCATTTACTCTTATCAAATTCAGTACAGATTGACCACTTTTAAACCAAGGGAGCCAATGACTATTAAAAGAATGGAGGAAAGCAAAGAGGAAACTCAGATCCCTGAAATAGTATTACAACGTTCTGCTGGCCACCTTCCACATGCTGGTTTCTTGGTTAGATTATTCTTTAATATCTCTAATGGGGGCAATGCTTTCTTCTGAAAAGTTAGTTGATTTTCATCGAACTGCATGAAATTGTATATAAAATATACAACTCTTCACTATAAAATCTGATTAAGTATTTCCAACACTTCGGGCTTCGAAAATAATAACAAACCTGCAGCATATAAACACCACAAATATAGAGAAATTTGAAAACCATAGGGAATTAAGGTGCATAGAAAGGAGAAGAAAGAAAATGACACAAGAGAGAAGGTAATTTATCACTTAAAGGACAGTGCTGTTACTGTATACTATTTTACACGTCTGTACATGAAATGTTTTGCATCTTTGTTTTTTTTTTTCAATTTGGTTCTGTGTTTCAACATTGATTCACATGATATCATAAATAATACTGAACTGAATTTTCTTGGAGTTCTGGCATGGTGACTGCAATGAAGTTTCTTCAATAATGGAGCAGATTTCCATTAGCAGCCAGATAATTTGGTTACAAACTAACATTAAGCAAAATTTGAATTTGTCAGTGGTGACTGTGAAGAGCGCAGTCTTCTGTATTGTAATGCCGTGTACTACAGAGAGAGCCTGATGTTTCGGACAAACATACCGCCTCCTGTTTTAGCTGGTTTCATGATCAACTCACTCGTCAACCCTGAAAATGAAGATAATAAATTGCCCCAAAATGTTCATCTGTCTCCAAACTACATAGCTTGCCATCAAGAATATGGTACTCTTCCTACTTTTAGGTAATATATGATTATCATTAATATTTGGAATATTTTCTTCTTGTTTCCATTTTTTTTAATCAATGTGGGAGATACATACCTTCGCCTCTCCTACTGGCACTTGTGGAGTGTGCCAAATATACATTTGGGATCTTCTAGTTGTTACTTCTCACACAGGCTCACAGGATATCTGAACATGCAAGGATTGCAGATTGAAGTTAGAAGTCAACCGATGTTTCAAAGGAATGTATAATCTCCATCGTCAGGGTCGAATAAGCTGAGCAATATACCAGCGTGAAAGCAGGTAGTAAGCCGATTGGTACTTGAAGATGGAGACAATACGTTCCTCCGAAACATTGGTCGACTTTTGACAGCCTACATGGTTTATATCCCAGAAGATAGTACTCTTTCAAGTATTTTAAAATTATGTTTCTTATCATTGAAGTCATTTAAATTAAACACTATTGAAATGAAAATATTACAAAATTATAGTGTTAGTTTTGTCAAAAATAACTTCAATAACAAATAACATTGTAGTCAATAATTTTATATGAAATTCTAGAAGCGATATTGCTGAAGATAAGTCCTTATGGTGTTTAAACATGCAGGGCAAATTTACAACCTATTGGAACAAATAAACCAAAAATATATTTATTTAACTAATGCGTTTCATGCAACTGATGATACTAGGATTTTTTTTAATTCACTTAGTGGGGGGTGGAGTCCAGCTGGGTCCATTCGGACAGCAGGAACTGATTGGCCTATTGTACCCCCGGGTGATAATAATGATGGAGAATTTGGTGGAATGAAGACAGGCAGGGGAAACCGAAGTACTGGGAGAAAACCCACCCCAGCGCCCCTTTTTTTTTTGATTGCTAGTGGGGTGTGACTAAGTCCCTTACACTGCGGCCAATTCTGGCCTATTGTACCCGCCCCAGATGATAGGTGAGGGTGATTGTGGAGCAATTGGTGGAATGAAGATAGGCAGGGGAAACCGAAGTACTCTGAGAAGACCTGCCCCAGCGTCACTTTGTCCACCACAAATCCCACTTGATCAGACCCGGGATCGAACCCGGACCTCTGCATTGGGAAGCCAGCAACTAACCGCTTCAGCTATGGCGCGGCCTTGATACTAGGTTGATAAACGATGAACTTTATATACACATTTTTGTTATTAAATATGGAAAGTTAACTTCAGTCGTCTCCCAACACTCAGCCACATGCATGACGCATCATAAAAACCAACCCAGCAACCCATACCAAAGCTGAGAAACGCATACTGAAAGTTTTCCTAAATACACACAAATACTTAATTTAATACATATAGAAACTGTACAGGACACAAATAAACCACACTGTCACCTACGGTATCACGATTTTCATATGTTGACCAATTAACCTCACATACCAATAGAGCGTTCGCAAGCTGAAAAACATAAAAAAATATTAAGCCCATCTGCACCACATAACAACCAGTACAACAAACCACCTTCCCCTTTTAAAAATAAAAATTCAGTCTATATCTAATTTATTTAAACTACTAAATTTTGACTTTTAACACATTTAACTTTTACCACATTATGACATATTATTCGAAAGATAACCCACACTAAAAGCTTAAAATTAAAATTTAGATTATAATATTATTAAAAAAAATATGTGAGACGGAATAGTGCGGTCTGTACAGCGACTGACTTGGGCTGGGTGACTGAGGGGTCAGAGTTTGAGTCCTGGTAGAGGCAAGAATTTTCTCCTCTTCACAGTGTCCAGACCGGCTCTGTGGCCTACTCAGCCTCCTATCCAGTGGGTACCGGGGGCGCTTTTCACGAGGGTAAAGCGGCCGCGGCGTGAAGCTGACTACTCACCTCCAACTATTGCCAAGGACAAGAATACGTGGATCTATACATACGTTCCCCCATACATCATCATGATATCGTGCTTAATTACTTAAGCACAAGGGAAGCGTTACCTTTACCTTAAACGTAAGGAACATCCATTCTGATAATTCATTAACTACGTGGTGATCTACAGAGATGAAAAGATGTAGTGAGATGTATATAAAATATCCCGAAAATTAAACATTTAATAACGGTTTACTCGTATAATAATTTTTGTCTTGACGAGTCTCAATTATACGTTTAATGGAAAAATGACATCAGATTTCTGGAAGAACTGTGCTATTATGACCAAATTAAACCTGCCTTGCTTTTGTGTCTGTTATGTAGGGAAGCAGTAGCAACTGCTGCTAAAAGATCTTTTTAGGTCTCTTTCATACAGAGTTCGTCTTTTTGGAAGTAGACTATATAAGTTTTACACAGATACAATGAAATGCTTTGGAATGACACAGGTTTTCTATTGTTCCTTTAAAAAATCGTAGTATTCAGCTGTTGCTATTAGGTTTGTTAACAATGGGTGAGATGGGTATGGCATGTACTAAGCATGTGTGAAACATGAAATGCTTACATATTCATAGTTGGAAAACCACTAGCGAAGAGACCATATGACAGACCTAGGTGTGGAAAGAAGGAAGACATAGAAAAAGGTGTTCTGAAGTGGTTCTAATTTGGATCCCACTGTGAGGTTCTGGCATGTCTGTGATCGACTTTCGAATTTTTTTAGAACAAGAATTCCTTTTATGAATGCCTATCACCGCTTTGAGGAATACTTTACCACGGATTGCGCACACTTTGGTACAATGGTTCATTACTGGGCATTTTGTTCAGGGTCGTACGTGGCCTTCTTCGCCTGGTGACTGGTTTGAAATGGTTACAAATTTGAGGCGTTAAGAGTAAGGTTAAGAGTGCTATCGTTCATTTCGTAGGGCTCACTAAAAAGGTAGTGATATTACAAGAATATTTATTGTGTGAAACTGAAGCTGTAATCAGGTTAATGAACTTGCACATGATTGTATAAATGAACACATGTAATACGTGAGTGGACCAGAAAGAGGGTGTACAGCTCACGCCGTCAATGACTATAAGGTAAATTTTAAACCCACCAATGAAACTCAGTAAAATAACGCGGGAAAGGAATGGACTCCGTGGTGTGCTGGTTGACGGGGTTGGATGGTAGCAGGTTGCAATAGAACTGGTGAGTGTTTGATGCGTTTTGGTTAGGAAGAACGGATTGTGGGCTGCCAGATATAGTATTTAAGACTATATATTGTTGTTTTATTAGCAGGGCGTACCCATAATCATTATAGAACACGAAAGATGTTCATAAAAATGTGCTGTGGGTGAGCTGAAAGAGCCATTCATGCTTTAGGAAGGCATTGTCATTTGAATATTACTGATTATTTCTCCAGTTTTAAACAGCGTTTCGCAAATTTTGTATAGTTTACTACTCAGAGAAATATATGTTGCCTGATATATGTATTTATAGGGGAATGATTAAATTGTACAGTTTGTTTTGTGTGTATAAGGATTACAAGCTGTATGAAAAGGGTGTTGCAAATGATTCTTGTAGTAATGTTGGTACGATGGTCGATCATTGCAATTTTGCAAGCCACAGAGAACTATAAAACGTTAAATTGAACTGTTGTTTGGTATAAATTCCAGATTAAATCTTCAAAGTTAGCCAACATGTATATTTATGGGATAATATTTGTAGAGACCTGTGTTTTTATTATATGTGCTTCTCCTTGTGTTTTGTTGGCAGATTAGCTAGCATCTCTAACAAGACTACATAAGTAAAGCCAAAACGTAAACACTTCTTATAGCCTCAAATGGATGAAAGTGATGCATTTTTGGAGGATCTACCTCCCGAAACAACTGAGGGTAGTGGTAATATTTTGGCAGAGCCTAGTAGAATCTCATCTAAAATGGAGGAATGTTCTTTAGATGCTTCCTCCAAGGCTCAGCATTCAAACTTAAAGAGAAGACGTATAGAACAAGTCTTGGAGGCGGCCACAGATAGTCAGAATCAATTGTATGTGAGTGATGTTATGCCATCGGTTATTAAAAGCCGTTATGGCAGGACCCATAAACCAAAAATACCTGAAGATTTTCTACCAACTGACAAGAAGGTTGCAGCCATACTTGGTCATAGCCCACATAAAAGCCCTGGTAAAAGTACAGGGTCACCTGTTTGTGCAACACCTATAGAACTGGCAAAGGTTTGTCAGAAGGGGCAGAGACTCTATGACATTTTTGTGAAAAAGGAAAGACGAAGCAAGGGAAATATGGAGGTGGAAAAAACAGGTGGAAATTTGATTTCAACTCCCAGTGTGAAATCAGAGAAGTCCAATTCAGACAGTGTCACTGTTGAAAATCCACCAGTAAATACTGAAGCTACACCTGCAGATAATACTGTACTTTCTCCAGAAAATGTGAAAGAGGAAGTGGAGAATGTGGTAGCAGATAAAACATGTGAAACCACTGAAGTGTCAGTCTCTGAAGAGAAGGTACCAGGGTGTGACTGGGTGATTGGAGACCTTGCATGGGCTCGTGTTACTGGTTATCCTTTCTGGCCATGCATGATTGTATTGGATCCAGAGCAGAGAATCTTCACCAAGACGACCGGTGAGTATTCTGTTGTGCTGTAAGCAGGTTGGTGTAGGTACATATGATAGGTCGGTTGGTTCGGTTGCAGTTATGTCTCCTATAATACCTGTATTTTCTGAACAACTTTGCACTGATGGCTGTATGTACTTGGTAATGAATTTGAGGTGTAATTAACAGTTGCCATTCTAACCTACACAGTTTTTCTGCCTTTGTGGTTACTATACTTTGATGTGATGTTTACTGTATTTTCTTTATGTGTAGTGCTGAATTTGTTGGTAGTCTACAATTGAGCTGTTTCTTTGAGGGGAGGGCTGTGATCAAGTCTTATAATATCCAGTAAAAGTAACAGAAATCTTATCTCTGATACTTCTAATTTTTTGGTGCCCTTTTAATTCAAAACCAAGACATTACTGTTAAGATTTCAAAGAGTGTGTTTTGAAAATGTTTATTTGCTAGGATTCCCATTAAAGGTGAAGTTTCTTTTGTGGTATTGGTGTAACTTCACTTCCATATTGCTTCTGTGGTGTGAGATAAGGTATCCAAAATACTTTCGTTCTGACTGTAATTTGGATATTATCTTAAATATGAAGAGAGAGATTAAATTGAAAAATATGAAATTCTAATATTCATACAAAAATATAGATTTTGTAACCAAAAAAGTGGCCAGTGCTTACTTTATATTTCATTAAAAATATATGTAAGTAAAAGTAAACATGTCCCTGTAACAGGCTGTGGAGGCCCATAGCATTGTGAAATGTTAAGGTTCCCACATTTTCTAGACAGTCGGCCCATAGATGGTGGTAAGGTTGTCAGCCTTATGTGCTGGCCGGCCCTTTACCCCCAAGAACATTCCAAAAATATTCCTGGTACTCATTTCTGTTAGAGGCTGAGTTGACCCCAGGGCCATAGTGTGGCTGGAAGGATTAGGTAAATTGAAAAAAAAAAATCAATC